GTTCTGCGATTAGAGCCTCTGTTAAGCGCAAGGTTTTCACACATTCCTCCCGTAAATGTCCCGCGATATCAGAAGTATCCGTTAGGCGACGGACAACCCATCCATTTGCGTAAATATAGACATTAATCAATGAATTTTTAGTAATTTATTAATATTTCATTATTCAAACCCTTCGACAGTTGAATATTTGCAAACTTTTTCGCATTTATTTGCCGCCGAAACCACTTCACAGATACCGCACACCTATCCAACAATGGGTGGCCGCCGTACCAGTGAAGTCAGTATCACGAGTAACGCATCGCTGGCACTCGATTCGCTTACTTTACCCAACATTACTTCTCGTAAATTACTTGTACAGCAAATTGTTTTGTAAATCCTAACACAAGTTAAACACCCAAACCAATAGTTACCCAGAAATGGTGGGGCACTAAACGAGTCGATTACGCTCTCTATTGTCCCGAAGGTCTAAACAACTTTCCGACGCACGCCTTACCCCATCTCTTTCACGCCAGTTATTGGGAATCAAATGATGTCATTTCATTCATTTTAAGACAAGTAACGCATTCAAACATTTTCTATGTCTTATTATTGGTTATTAATTATTAAATGAACGGCAAATAGATCTCAAGACCTGAATATATGGCGTCCAATATCGCAGACTCTGACAAAGACATGCATTCGTTTACTCCGTGTCAGCCGAGAGAGAAGTGGCAAAAGAAGAGAACATCAGTGAAGCTAAAGGTGAGCCGAGTATGTCATCCCCACCGCTGCCTTCAGATAATAGTTCCGCTTCTAATTATTCGCTGACATTCCTCTATAGAACATAACAGCCAATCACAGAGCGAACGACGTTATCGTCAAAGAAGGGGCGACGCAAGTAATTACAGCCCGTTTTATGTACGGCCCTCTGGATGTGGTGGCGCTCACCGGCGAGAAAGTGGACATTCATGTCATGAAGAACATGCGTTCCGGCGAATGGACTTTCTTGAGCACAGAGTTGACCGATAAGTCCGGTCGAGTCAGTTATGCTATACCCGAAGATAAGACGTTGACGTATGGCTTATATCCGGTCAAAATTGTTGTCAGGTTTGTGTCGATAATATGCATTTTTGTGGACATTTGTTGTAATCATAATTGGTATATAAAGGGGTGATCACACGTCCATTGATTTTTATTTGGCTGTCGTTCCGCCAAAAACGGAAGCCGTTGTCTTCAGTATTGACGGCTCATTCACCGCAAGTATGTCCGTCACGGGAAAGGACCCCAAAGTTAGAGCCGGAGCCGTAGATGTTGTCAGATATTGGCAGGAATTGGGATATCTTATAATTTATATAACAGGCCGTCCAGACATGCAACAGGTATTGTACACACAATTCGCTGTTATTTAATATAATTACTGTAATTGTTATATTAATTAGCAACGAGTCATATCGTGGCTCTCACAGCACAACTTCCCACACGGTTTGGTAACATTTGCCGACCGACTGTCCACCGATCCGTTGAGACATAAAGCCGAACATCTCAGACACCTTCAAATCGATGTAATCCATTCAAAAGGCGACATTTGTTTTGACTTAACTTAATTCATTGTTTTTCACTCTTAAAGTCGGAGATCGTATTCCAAGCGGCGTACGGCTCGAGCAAAGATATAACCGTTTATCAATCATTAGGTCTAAAAGCCGATCAGATATTTATTGTGGGAAAAG